ATATTTGAAAATTATCAGCTGGTGTTATTGATTTTCCCAATTTCTTTTTAAAACGGATATCAATTATTTTTCCTCACAAGGGCTACATGCAACATTCATAGTGATGTGCAAATGGGGTCCACGTGAGGAAGTGTGGCTAACCCCGTTAGGCCCTAGTTTCCCCCTTCCCTTCTTTCAAAATTGTAGTAGGGCGCACTCTAAACCATTTCTATCCACGGCTTTATCATCACTCGCTTATAACCCTGCATCTCATACTCTTCTTTTACCAAGCGGCATGGCCTAGAGGTCTAGACCAATGCTTAGCATTCGGGAGGGCGCCGGTTCGATTCCGGGTCCGTCTGCCTTGGTCCAAGTTTTTCTGTGGTTTCCTTGGATCATTTAGGTAAATGCTGGGGCAGTAATATTCCACAGATAATCTTTCATTATCTTCTATCTTCATTTCGTCCGTCTCATCCTTCACACCCGAACCACTACCCACCCATTCCCACGATTCCTGAAAGCAGGCTGAAGAGGGCCTTCCGCCCTACTTTCCGGCATAGTCCGGAGGGACTGCCCGCCCACCAGCATTACTGGCTGGTGGGAATGAAACACCCAAAAGTTTTTAGTTTTTACTCTTCTTTTGCGCTCCGTCCACCGTCCTTGTTTCGCACTCATCCAGAGCCACATGCATCTGAGTAATATGTATTTACCTACACTAACTTCTCCGTGCCGTATTGACCAATATTAAAATATATTGAAGTTTTATTGTGAATTGGCATTGCATTTTTGAAGAATCTCTTACACTGTAGACTCTAGAGGCTCTATTTCGTTGTCATTGTTTGTTCGTAGTAGGCGACGAATGGTGTGCGTCGTCGCTAGGTGGCAGACGAGCGACTACCGTTGAAAAATGAGAGAGAGAGAGAGAGAGAGGGAAAAAAAGACGTCCCGAAGGGGATAAATTAAAAATGATTGTTCTCATTACCAACGAATTGTTAAGTGTTCGCTCTTGTCTGAACGATTTTTTAAGTGTCAAAACTGGTACATTTTTAAGCTCCTGGAGCTTTTAGGTATATTATCTATTTTTATACCTAGGTGTAATGCCGTTGTTCACAGGATAACATTATCATAAAAAAAAAACAACGGCAGGGATTCAATACCTTATAAAATACGCTATTAAGGAAAATGGATTAAAACAAATAGTAAAATTTTATTTTGGTTCGTAATCTTCAGAGATAACGAAGGACAAGCAGTGACGACATTCAAGTGCTCCAAAAATATTTACATAAAACTGCCTGATTTATTTTATATTTTTCGGTTTGCAAATGTCGAACTGGAGGATTTGGATTGGAAAATGTTTTTCATTAAAAAAAAAACAAAATAAATTGATTTCTTAGCCTTCCTATACATTCTGACAGAAACCTTTTTGTGGTTAAGAAGAAGGAGCTCGCCGATTTCCACAACTGCACAGAATCAGCAGCTGTCAGTTACTTTACGGTGAGGCGGAAGTATATAAAGCGCCCCGCATTACTTAACTATCTTTACAATAGCAGGAGAGCAAACACAAATGCGATTATCGTTGTCGTCTATACATGTATGCACACTTCCTAAGTTTCATGTTAAATAGCAATATTCTTATAATTCTTATTGAAGATAAGGTAGAAGCGTCTAAGTTCTAAGAAAAACAATTTAAAAAAAATTGATCAAAATCTGCTGCTTCTTAAGATAGCAGAGATAGCAGCAAAAGTGTGAACCACATCTTTCTGATGGAGATTATTTTGTGGGTAATAGAAATAGAAATTATTCATTAGCAAAAATGCAAACAACCGTCTGGCCCTGACACTTTTCATCGTCAGCATCCTTGTCGTCGTTCCCCGTCTCCCGACTCGACAGCATAGGTATCGTTGGATCATTCGTAGCTTTAGGTATCTGGAGTCCATAGGTAAAGAAGCCCAGGTGTCCCGTTCTCATCGTTTAATAACCAAAGAAATAAATTTTAGGGGAAAGAAAGAGTTACGATTAGCCGAGGGTCCGTTGCTAATCCTTAAAAAATAATGAGGGCGGCCGCCGCCGCGAACGCCGCGCCGCACTCTGACAGCCGTGGTGGAGTGTAAGAACGCAAAGGGTTCGGGGTTTCGTTTATTAGCTGGTTACTTCGCGACCGCCGCTGCACAAGGATTTTTCGACTCGGATTTTGTTTTTAATCGTCGCGTATTTCTCGAACACGCATCTGCGGTACGAATTCGGGAAGGAATATTAATCCCGACGATGCGACGATTTTTTGCGTTTTCATTACTGGGAGAACGGCGAAACAGATGAAAAGACGAAATTAATGTTGCCCAAGTTAGTGTCTACAGAAGTGAAGTTTTTAGAGAACCCCGACACAAAAAAAACATGCTTATATGAAGAGGGGCATTGGAATGAGACATGAAGAGTTAGTCAGGGACATATTAGAGGCTAAAACAAGAGTAAAGGGGTGGCAGAGATAGTAGACCTATATTACATTACTGTTCTAGTTATTGGAAAGGGCGCACCTACACCTACAAAGGGTGTAGGTGCGTGCCAGTATTTACCCCTTTAAACGAATACAATAAAACTGAAAAGTTCGACTTAATATTAAAACGAACTTCGTGACTGTTCACAAAAAATGTAAAAATTCAAGAATGTTTTGATCAAAATCATAGTATGAGACTCCCTTGTTAATTTTAAATCCAGGTTGATCTTCTGTTCTAGTAACGAAAAGGACTAGTTATTTGGTGACAGTTCTTTCTTGTTTTGCCAACGTTTCTCATTTTCCTTTGAAAGAGAAAAAAGAAGAGACGTTGAAAGTCTACATCTGTTTTCGCAACGGGATTCATCGGTACATCTTAAAGCATTAATATTCACTCCATTAACTTTTACGCTTCCCTAATGTTTTCGTAAACTACTCCTAGTCCGGAATAGACTCAAATGATGACGAAGAAGCATCTGGTATGCAAAACATTAGGATCATTTGTAAGAATCCGCTCCAAAGAAACTCGCCAAGTGCACCTTAATCTTTTTTCCGTGAAATAGTTGTTGGTGATGAGAAATCGAAAATTGAAAACCTCTGGATTTCTAAAAGAATCCACTCCATAGAACTTGGAATTTTAGTTTTTCTCGAACATAACCAAAAACCTAATTGTACTTACGTACTTATCATAAATTTAAAGGAGAAAATTTTTTGGCATAGGTAGACTACATTCCCAGAAAGGTGCTATTAGAAATTAGGGGTATTTTATATAAAAATTATTCATACATTCACGAACTAATATCGATTAATTAATCTTTGTAAAGGACTAGATAACCAATCGATAGAAATTGAGGAAAATTCAGTTGACATTAAACATATTAAAAAAAAAGGAAAGTGACAAATATATCATTGGATAGATCCAGATATCTGCTTTTCTTGTGATGTTCCAAAGGGCAACTTTTGGAAAATTATCCCAGACATATCTGGTGACTATTTCCTACTATCTAGCTTATCCCTCATGTCTAAGAAGGTACAATTTATCAACCTGTTTCACCCATTTCTTACTGACTTCCATAACGCTCTCTGTTCTCCTAATACGTCCTCATTTCAAAGAGTTTCTGTCCACGGCATTCTCGACATCCTCCTGGGACACCACATTTTAAACGTGCTTCTAACTTTTTTTTAAATTAACCAATCAAAGTGATTTCTCCTTGTTAAAAGCGATTCCACCGTGCAAACCAACGGTAGGCGCTGTCAAACCGTAGACAATATTAATATTCAATACCTCCTTACAAAACGTATTACAATGAGACGGCAACGATAGCGCAAGTACTCGTGTGTTTAGATATTTAGTGGGGCCGCGCTTGCCCTCTCACCCATTCACGGCGAATTTTTTCGCGAAAGAGGAAGTAGGCGGCAACGGAAATCGCGTGCGTGAAAAAATTGCAAATAAAAAAGACGCGCCGCCGCCTGCGCCTGCCTCCTGCCAGGGAGGAGCGCTAGCTAATGTCGAGCGGCACAAATGGGCGCAAGGATGGTCTTCACAATAAATACTTAGACGCACACATACATTCGTTTCAATTCAACACATACGTATGTAGGCACATACTTGAAGATTTTTATCATACCCGCGCGCCCGCAATTACGCGGGAAGTACCGGCGCGACGGTAGACCAAGCGACGCGCTGCTGCTGCATTGTTTCTAAATGGCATTGCTTCCGACACGCGTCAGTGACAATAGCGAATAGAGTCGGTTAAGGAAACAAACGAGCGGACTTACTCAGCCAACTGGACTAGACCTACATCCCGCCCATAACGATTCAATGGTCACATCAACTTTTTTCGTATGCTTATAGCGAAACACATTTGCTAGACCGGCTCTGTCATCAAACGTATCTTTCCATTCAATGTCGCAAACATAAGTCTTTTTTATGTCTTCATTGACGTGTTTGTTAAAATTGACCACAAAAAGTTTGTGGTAGTCAGTAGTCTGAGTTCTTTGAACCTCGTTAACAGGCTACATAGAACCAAAACTTTTTCTAAGACAGTTACAATCATTTAAAGACCGAAGCCGGCCCTGTGCGTGAATTGACAACATAACATAGGTGTCTACCGAATAGCGTAGTGCAATAAAAACATTGCAGCCACTTAAAATGGATAATGTAAACATTGCCGATTATTAAACGTCTAAGATAAACAAACAATTTAATAATATACATACAAAAAAACAATACAAAAGCAAAAGAATGCAAAACAAATATTACACCAAAGTTGATAATAACGAGGTGATTGAGTGCGACGTTGCGGACCGTACTTCTTTACCAGCGCCGGAATTGAATTTATCTGTACTTTTTCTCGAAAACGGTTAACTTTCGGACATAGAAACATTTCGGCACTTAATATTTATGTTTTATAGTGCTCTATTACCTTCTGTAATCTCAATCTAGGCACTTATTATTCCTGTTACACACCCTGTGTTATTTATATTTCGAATAATTTCAGGATGATTTTCAGTGTGTGTTTTTTTTTTACAGCAGCATGCTGCTCTCATTGGAGGTCCGAATGCGACGACGTGTCCTTTGTGCCATAAGATGTTCCTCGGTGGCGAAGCCCTCATGGAGCATATGAAGCATACGCACAAGGATCCGAACGCGTCGGGTGTTGCCAGTAAGCATTAAATTTTTGTAGGAAGAACGTAAGAAAGAAAGTAAAAACTTGCGTGCGCTATACGTTTGGTTTGTTTTGTCTGTGAACGTCGAATGATTTTTGATGCCATTTTTTTTTCTGCATGTTCATCATTAATTATGCTTCTTACTAACCCGTGAACCGAAAGAAAAAGAAACGGGCGAACGTTTGTCTACCGGGTGGCGTCAAAATTGAAAACGTACTTGGCTTTTGACTGAGCTTTTATGTTTTCCATCGAAGCATGTCATTTGTTCTTTTTTTTTTTTTAGAATAAATTGTTATGTGTTGAGTAGTTTTGTGGCTCATATTTCCCCTTAATAAATTTACGATTTAGAAACCAAATTTATGACATATTTATGTAAAGACAGATGACATTTTAGGCATCAGTTGTTATAAAATGATTATTTAGAACACACACCAGCAGTGTGACAACAATTGTACAATAAATTATTGATTTCCTGTTATTTTAGTTTTAGTTAGATTAGTAAAAAAAACAAAACAATAAACAGCCAAGAAGATGAGATATTTTTATGATTAGTTCAAATAAAAGGGACGCAGTTTTGATAGGTGCCATACAATTGATAAAACACTTGGAATAAGTGATTGAATTCCTTCTTATGTGGTACATAACCACAGAAAAAAAAACCTTTTTCATAATATTAGATTTGAATGAAACGTGCTGTTATAAAAAAACGAATTTATCTACGAAAACAATTTTGCGCCACCCGGTATAATAAACGGTTGAACTCGCAGAGTATATTTTCGTAGTCAACTATGATGAGACGCGGTTAAAAAAGATGAAATGTATCACATCAAAGATAGCTATTATTTTCTGGCCTGATTCGAGGCGTTTCAACCCTTTAACCCCAAATCGAAAAATATTTCTTCTGATGATGGTACGCGGAACATAATCAATCTCTGTCTGAATGCACTTAAAAATTCAAAGGCGCCTTTTTTTCGTAAGGGGGGGTAGGAGTGAGTGGTGACGGCCGCACTACCCCCGTCCCGATGTTGTACACCATGTCCATCGATTAACAAAGCTAAGAGAGAGCTTAAAAGCATTTTTGTTCTTTGCTATTCATTTTTAAATTGTGTACTCATTTAGCCGCACTAATTCACCCTCTCTTCTACTGTAGCCAACGCTCTTGATCTTCGCGATGACACTTTGTACTACGTTAAAAATTCATGAATTGGAAAACTACCCTTGTTTTTTTACAGTTTTTATACAGTGTTAGGAATTTATTTGGTTTAAGAAATTTGTCAGAAATCAATCTTCTAGAAACACCCCCTTGTTCCAAGACTCACTAGGAACAAGGAGAGTGGGACCGTTTTTGTACATTTTTTTTACAAATATGTCACTTATGAGTAAAACAAAAGATACTGTATATCGACTAGCACGCTGACGTCTCAGAATCCCAAAATAATTCAAACGAAAATTCAGTGTTTTTTTAGTAGTTAGTGCCCCATTCCTTCTAAGAACATTGGGACCTCAGGTAACACCAACGCGAAAACTTCTTAGTAAATGAATTTGTTTCCAAAAGTAAATACGCTATAATTTAGTGCTTTTCAAGTGCTTATGGAAGAACCATTTCCAACATCGATATAGTTACATCCAGTATGTTGTAAAATTATGCTTTCATCTCTCGAACATTCTAGTACATCTACACCAAAAAATGCATGAAATAAATTAATAAGTTTGAAAAATATTGGTATTATAATAAGATTTCTTGTCATTGCAAACCAAATTATCGCTAAAGCTACTGTAATTTTCTGGTTGTCACCCAGTTGTTTTTTAGTGTATAATTCTTTACATTCTCCTTCCAGCTTGCCACGTTTTGGCACAGGAATTGGAGTCACTTAACTTTTGTTTACTAGCAATACATTTCAAACCTATTGAATTATTTTCACCATTTTTCAGTGAAGATATGACACTTGAATGCTCCAGACAAGAGAGCATAATTTTACATTACATTTAAAAAGTACTAAATTATAGCATATAGATACTTATATTTATAAGTGAAGTAATCCACTAAGAAATTCGGGCTTGAGAAGGAATGAGGCACTAAAATTTTAATTAGTAGGTACGTTATATTTTCATGTGAATTGTTTTAAGATTTTGTGATATGGGTGAGCTAGTCAATAAATAGTGGGTACCTACCCAAAAAATGGTGAAAGTTAAATATAGATAATTATGATAATAAAATGAAAGGTAATCTTTAATAAGAAAAATCTTTTCTGTGGAAGCCTTTGGTAAACAAAAGAGTCCCCGATATTTTAATATAACACATTTTCAAAGAGTAACAGACCGTGGCTGATACAATTAGAAGAGAGATTGGGAGTTCAAAGAAAGGGGTTTTGGAGCAACAAAAAAAGAATTAGCGGAATTCTTTTGCTTACACACCAGCTGCAGGTTTCCTATAGAAGGAAACTTTTCCTTAACGAAATAAGTAGATGTCGATATAAAAACAATAGCACTTAGTGTTTCCGCAGAAAATAAGTGGAAGATTGGAGCGTTGAGTCAGTCGAAGGAAAACTTTTAAAAACGGGTAACTTCAAAGTGGATAATAAAAACATTCTCGGAATTTTCTCTTTCTTTCTCTCTCGTTTAATTCGATTTTACAAAGCTACTTCGTCGACCAATTCGGGACGTCCCAGTTTTTATTAAAACAAAATTAATTTCTCATTTCTGTTTAAAATTATAAGACGTAGTAAAAACCCTAAAAATAATAATAAAATAACTGAAAAATACTAATTTCATGAACATTTACACAAAAGTATTACAGTAAAATCCGCTTATAACGACATCGAAGGGAAATGACAAACACGTCATACAAAGCATAGTCTTAGAAAATAAACAACTTTCTATTTTGGTTAGTTAATTAGTTTAATAGAGATAAAAACTACAAATTGTTATATTTATTAACGAAAAAAGAAAAAGAACGATGAATTGTAGTATCAATATACATAAGAAGGGTCAGAAAAATAAGCGAAAATGTTATTATTAATCATTTGGGTCACTATAGCCGGATATGATTTCTTGAGAATCAGTCATAATAAACGATATGTCATTTTAAACGGAGTCATTATATCCAAACATTCCTATAAAGAATTTAATATGAAAACCAAACTTAACACTACAATTACTTCATATTAAGCGGTTGGTAAATATAGGCGGAGTTATAATCAACGAATTCCACTGTATTTCTATTTCTATTTGACACCCGACATCATAAAGAATGGATTAAGTAAATACTTAGTAGTATTCGAAATTATTGGTGACAAATATAATAAGGGACTGTTCAGAAACCTTATGGCTCTGTAGAGGAAGGCGTCTGGTAAAAAATTGATTTTTAAAGGATCGAAGAAAAGGATAAACAAACGGATCAATATCTATTACCTGCATGCAATAACCTAACTGAAGATGACGTATTTCCTATGAAAGACAATTTTCGTCATGTATGTCTAGCCCCCATTTACAGTTTTAGATAGTTTTACATAAAAAAAATCTATTTGACAAACGTTTAAAAAAGGTCGCGTTGTTCGAAGGATATACTTCAAGAATCAAACCATAGTAGACCATATATATGGAAGTGATTGAAACAGAACAATTTGGTTTATATACATCTCCTCAAATAAAGAGAACGGATTCTTCTAGCAGCTTTTCAAGTCCAAAATTAATTAAAAGATTTTAATTTCATTAACGTTAACAAATTCTAACAAGTTTGTTAAAATCCAGGAAAATACAGTGCGCAACAGTGTTTAACTTAGTAGCAATCAAAGGGCATCTATTAGTAATATTAATAACGTAGTACAAAGAATGTTTGTACCCAAGACTCAAAATTGCAACAATCAATAAATAACGTTATCGACATAATGAACCTGATTGGTCGAGTATTTTAGAAAAAACGAATCAGAATCCGCTTTCGTCGAACTTCTACCTATCTCGTTTTTAATTTTATTTTAATTTTAATTTTATTTTGTTGATTATTATTTGACCAATTTTGTTTTGGTTGCTTTGGCGGTGACCTTGTCCTTTGTTAGAGCGCTGGTGGTTGGTTTTGCTTTATTAACAAGTTGTTGATTACAATTCGGCGATGAAACCAATTTTGCAACATCAGAATGAGAAATAAAGGAACGCAAAATTTGTTTTGTTGTCGATTTTTTATACCGGTTGGCTGTAACCTGGCGATATGATTACAAACATTACGAAACAAAAGACGACTTTTTTGATGCACCTCGTACCTTCCTAGTACATCGGCTATTAAAAAATTGGTGATATTAAGGTATAGCTAGTTCAAAATCTCATGGGCTTTCACATATGCGAGAGACGAGATCTCAGTATGCAGTACATGTCAAAACAAATCAATTTAGGAATCTTTTCTTGCTGGGCAAGTTGTTATTCAGCATGAGAATTTAATATTTGAACGAAGCAATACGTATCCCATATTTTTTATGGGATTAATTGTCATGGTTCCATATTTTCATCCCTTTAATTCGTTGGCTAAACATACAGATGGCGCACCTGAATTGGACACAAGAACAAGTGACATCAGATATTAACAAGGCATTTTCAAAGCCCACTTATATCAATTTGTCACTAAATCCAAATACTTATTGCTCCAGCCTATCATTGGAAAATAGATGAAATTTTAGCCTAATATCAATCTGGCACTGCATATAGGAATAGAAATGGCGTAAAGAAATACCGTAAGGGATATAATTTGTCGCTAAAAGATAGTAAGTACTTAATCACATCTTGTCGCTATAAACTATATTCGCCAGCTGTCAATTGAAAAACGAACTAAGAGTCGTCAAATTGACACTACACCACTAGTCATAGCGTATCTCGAGATAGAAATGGTGTAGAAAAATACTGCAAGAGCTATAATTTGTCGCTTAAGGGTGGTACTTGTACCCAGTTAGCCACGAGTCCAGCCTCGAAAAACGATTGGAGAGCTATCCATACTGACAAATTAGCGACAAATTATGGTGTCAACTTACAGTATTTTTCTGCGACATTTCTATTTCGGGACACTCTATATGCGTAGTGCCAGTGCCAGTCCCTCACAGTATTTTTCTATACCATTTCCATCTCCAGATACGTTATGTGAAGTGGCTTGGCGACTCTCCATTTGTTTTTCACTGAACAGTTCGAGAATAGGCTAACGACAAAATAGACAAAAGTACCATTTTTAGCGACAAATTAAAGCCTTTACAGTACTTTTGTATGTCCATTTAGAAGTACGCTATGTGTTGTGTTAGCTTAATATCAGGAAAGCATTTTGTCTATTTACTAGAAACAGGCTGAGGCGACAAATTTTTGGATTTGGTAAAAAATTGGCGACAAATTTGTCTATTTTAGAAACTAGAAATATAATTTTATCGTGCTATTTGATGACGGTAAATTACTTTGTATTACACCATCTACAGTCAATCTTTGAGAATGTCTGCCGCGAAATATCAGGAAGAAAAAAATTCCAAAATCCGCTGTCCATAATCCCAGAAAACTACACAATAGTTTCCAAAGTTGTACTACTCCGTTTATGATACCTCTTGATCTGCGTCCAGTTGATGTTTAGAATCTAGTTTAAGGATGTTTGGGAGGTACAATCGGAGACAAAAGTACATAAAATTAGAAATTCCTGATTAATTAGGTTTTGCAGCATATCATGAGGTAAATAAATACTATCTATACTAAAAAAAAGTGTACGGTTTGAGAGAAAATTTGGAATTTGACCAAAAACTTTGAATAAAATAAGAAATAACGAATAATATGGAAAATTTTTAACTGACTTTTGGCAGTGAATATGCCTTGATTTCAACTTCGAAACAAAAAAATATTTAGTTTCAATCTTT